ATAACGAAAAATTCAAAAAAATTTCCCTTTTAATGAAAAACCATTTTTAAAGGTATAGTGAATAGTACCAGAGAAGGGTATAAATGTAGTTTTTTTGTTAAAAGTGAATAGTACCGGAAGTGTTTTGTTAAAACTTCATATTTTATACCATCTCTAACCGAATGAGATAAAAGGCCATGGGCCAAACATAGCCCTTTAACAAAAAACTCATCTCTAACCAAGAGGGTCAAAGGACCATAGGCCAAACATAACCCCCTCAATAATTTATAATTTTAATTCAATTATTATGGTTAATTAAATTAAATCACCGTATTAAAATAAGGTTTTCGGACATATTTTGAGTGTCACTTGTCACTAAATGAATAAGACTCCGGATTTCTTATCTTTATATAATCTCAATAATTTTTTGGATAGTATGAAATGGTGAAAATTATGTGAGAAATGATGTAGGAATGATTTAGGTATTTATAGGAATTTTCTTTTACTAAAAAAATTGTCCAAAAAAAAATTTTCAAATTCCAACGGTAACCTGACGTTAGCTAGCCGTTGGAGGGCAAGTGGGCTGGACTGGGGGCTGGTTGGCTGGCTAGAAATGGCCAGCCTATTGGCCTGATTTGGGTTTATTGGTCTGCTGGGGCCCACAAGTCCTTTGGCCTAGCCCTCGGTTGGAGATGGTTTTCATGTCATTCCAAGCTATTTTTAGCCCTATGGCCCTTTGGCGGGGTCGATTGGAGATGGCGTAATAGTTGAACCCTAATGAGAAAGTAAATATGTACTCCAGAGGATGGTAGGAGTCGGAGTTCGATTTCTTTGAGATGTTTTTTGGGGTGCATTTTTCCTCACTACCATTAAGTAGTGGTAATGCTCACCACCTATTTATTACCGTTTGATGAATTTAAAATTTGACATTTGTGTCTATCCACTACACAAATCTTAACATTTAAATCCACCTAATAGTGATAAATAGTGCGGTAATCATCAATCACTCCACTTGAGGGTGATGATAAAAAATATTCCCATTTCTTTTGCTCATTTTTGAATAATAATTGATTTTTTTTTAAAGAGTCGAACCCTAATGAGAATGTAAATATGTATTTGATAAAATTTGTATGCAATTAAATGTATGTCCATTTGAGAAGAGCTCAAAGATTATAATCATATATGCCTCTAAATTAACAAAATAGAAAAAATAATTATTCTGATTAAAACTGAAATAGTATTGAAGAAACGAAAATCACATTATGAATTGAATTATAATTTTTTGGGTTCTAAAAAAACTTAATCTGATTAATCATTCGTGATTACAAGAATCATTCAAATTGAATCTAATTTATGTACAAAGACAAACACAATTCCTCACTTAAAAGTTCAATGATGAAAATAGTAACTTTGGTTACCTAATTTCTAATTTGTCTAAAGTTTTTATCAACTTGTTCTATGATCAATAACTAAAGAAAAGTAATATTCACACATCTATTTTCACTTCTCATACACCCCTCTCAACTTCAGTGGTCGGGTGGAATGAATTGAAGAAAATCCATGACAAAAACGTATATCAAAATAAAAACGTCCATTTTAACTGAACTACATTACTAATGCTTTTATTTTTAGTTGGAAATGAGATTCCATGAACTATCTATTACCTCATGTTTTTAGCATAATATTTTATAATGTTGATTGGTATGTAAATTGACGTTAAACTGTAAAATGACAAAGAGTCTAAGAAGAGACTTACTTTGAAAAATTCTTTTTTACCATTTCTCATCCAACAAATCGGATTTGACAAGACACCAAAAATTAGCTTTTAAGGTTACAAAAGCTAGCCCCCGACCCAATCACTCCCACTCCCTTCACGTGGACATCTCGTGATATAAGTGGGTGCATCATTGACTTTCTTTATTGAATCTTTTCTTAAACAATGAACAGTGGCATGCATTCGTATAGAAATATTCTCACATCACCAAAAATTAAAAAGAGAAAAAGGATAAAAAAAAATATAGCATTTTGCAATTAAGCTACACAAAGATTCTTCCAAGCCCCAGCCCCACGGAATTGGATGTTGATGGTGATGATTTGCGCCCTAAATCAAAAAACCCTAGGGGCATCCATGCACCTTCATATTTTAATCACATTGGTCCCACAATATCTAGATTCTCTTCCAAAGCCAAACATGCCCACGATCACGCTCCTTTTCAGTTTCTCACTCCCACCCAATGAGTATTTGCCTCTTGTTTTTATTTGTCCCTTTGACACGTATAAATACACCCTCCCACCTTCTGTTTTCCCACACCACACCAACCCAACCCAATTCATTTCCTTCCCCTCCTCTTTCTCCAAAGGAACAGCAACAAATTACAACCAATACTACCCACCAGAGAAAACCCTAGTTGCAGATACCAGAAAGAAAAAATGTCTGGGGTTTGGACTTTTAAGAATGGGGTGATGCGCCTCGTCGAAAATCCTCAGGCCGAGACATCTTCCAGGAAGAAGGCTTTGGTGCACTTGCCGAGTGGAGAGGTGGTGTCGTCCTACTCGATGCTGGAGGAAATATTGACGGGGTTAGGGTGGGAGAGGTACTATGGAAGAGACCCCGATCTCTTCCAGTTCCACAAGCGATCTTCGATCGATCTAATCTCTCTCCCCGGAGACTTCTCCAAGTTCAACTCTGTTCACATGTACGATATTGTCATTAAAAACCCCAACATCTTCCACGTTCGGGACACGTAGGCATCTGTGTGACATCAGTTGGAATTCAAAGGTTGAGTGAGTCTTCGTTGATATGTTGTTGATTTCTCCTTCTTTTTTCTTCTTCATATCACTAGGTTACTTGGTTCTTTTAGTACGTGATTTATCTGCTTTTGGGTTTGGTGGTATACGTCGAGTGTACTTAGGAATGGCTCCAGCCATAGGTTTCATTCATGTCTCCCCTAATTAACCCTTCCTGGTTAATTCAGTGTGTACTTGTAATAAAAAGTAGACCTACATGGTGTTTGTGTTATTTTGGATATTCTGGGTTGCTTTGTAAAATATTTTGGCATTGTATCATCTAATAATAATAGTGTATGTCATTGAAAGAAGCAAATAGATCGATTCTATTTCCTTTTTGTTCCATGCGAGCCTAAGATGGCTACCTAGTGAGGAAGAGACAGTGCCACAGCTTGCGGCTATATATGAACGACATACCACGGTTTGATGGTTACTTTGCTTATATGATTATGTGAACCCTGAATTTATAAAAGCTGACCAATTGATAGTCACTTAAATTAAATCTTGAATTCAAGATTCAAGTTCTGGGGAATTCGTTACAAGGCACGTCCCGTCTCGCTTCAACGTTTGCTCATCTTCATGCCTACAAAATGTCAAGAAAAGTTCTAACACCCACTTTCTTTAATTGTTCTTGAATGTTTTTTTTTTCTTTGTTTTTGGTTTAAATTGATTCAAGTTTTGGGGTGGGTTTCACTTTCCATTTTAAATGATTAAGAGCTTGAAAAATCGATTTTGAAAAAGAATGTACACAATTTTCTATACATTGCAATTATATTAAGGATAGCATTTGTGTCTCCCCACTTATAATAGACAATCCCACATCTGTAATTAACGAATTTTTACAGTCTGAACATTATAATCATACTCTAACCAAGCCAAAAAAATTGTACTCTAAAACAAAAGCTATATTTTTTCTAAACTACCTACATAATTGTCACATTATCCAAAGTCTAGTGTTATGAAAGTTTGGGTGAAAATATTAAATGGGGTATCCATTATCCAGTAGAAATGTGTCTTTGTGTTTATGAGAGAGAGAGAGAGAGAGAGAGAATCACTTATGAACACGAACACTTTTACAGTTGTTGTTGACTGGGTTTTGATTGGAAATGATTCCATAAAAGTGAAATGATCATGAGGTCCCCGACTTGAGGGGGATGAAGATCAAAATCTCAGAGTGTGAGGGGCTGCACGTGAAGGAGATATCACAAGCCAGGTGTCACCTGCCACGTGTAATAATGGGATTGTGACTTCGCTTGAGCTTTTCATAGATAGAGTGTGTGTGCACGTGGCACAGCCTTTTAATCCCAGAAACCGATTTTGATGTTTGTGTTGTTTTCTGAGAAATCAAAAGAAAAGAAAATTACTTAGTATCTAAAGACTTGAGTTCGTTTAAAAACTCGTTTAAAAGTGCTTGTAATCAGTGTTTTAAAAAGCTTGCCTTAGGGCGCTCTTAGACGGCCTCTGAGGTTGGGCGTAAGGATTGCTGCCTCCATTTTGAGAGAGTAGGTGGAAGGCGTCATTGGAGCCGTCGAGGCGGCAGAGGCGTGCCTCAGGGCATCCAAGCGTCTCTGTTTGGCTGCTTTAATAAAAAATAAAAAATAAAAACTCCCAAACCCAAATTTTGAGTAGGTTTTAACTGCCTTATACCTCTTTCTTGCACTATCCCACGCGCTCCGGCGACAGCCACAACACGAATCTTCGACAGCCTTCTACAGCACTCGTAGCTAACCTTCAGTAGCAGCACCCACCACCCCCAGCGACAGCACGCAACACCCAAAGACTGCACTATTGCCAGCACTCCCACAGATCCCCAATTTTTACGGCTAGGGTTTCTGATTTTTATTTTTTATATATAATGAATGTGTGTGCTATCTACGTGCATCGTTATATGTGTGCTCATTGTTTTTCTCATCCTCTATATATATATATATATATATTTATAATATATGTGTGCTCAAGATGATTATTGATTCATAATCTTCTTTATTTTTATATAAGATATGTGTACGCTCAGTGTGATTAATATTTATGTGATGTGTTCACTTGTGTATTATAATTAATATTGCCGTGCATTGTAATTACATAATATATAGTTCCATTGATTAATTGTAATGCTTGGTTAATTTTATAATAGATTTGGATGATATTAACATTTAAAATTTTACAAAGTATTATTTTCTATATAATTATATATAATATATAAAACATATATATTAAAAAATTTAGGTTCCGTGAGGCTTCGCCTCATGCCTAGGCAGGGCTATCCATGGGACGCCTCGCCTCTGCCTTTGCCTTTTAATACATTGCTTTTAATACAGTTGAATTTTGATAAATTTTGTTTGAAACCAATCTTTAATAAAAATGCAAGCAAATCTTAAAAAACACTTTAAGATACTTCTTAAGAGAAACACATAACTAGTATTTCTTACATAAACACTTAGAGAGAGAGAGAGAGAGAGAGAGAGAGAGAGTGCAAAACACATAAAACACTTCAAGAAGCCTTCCTTCTCGAGAGACCTGATAGCTTCCCTGGAATACCAAAGTGAAATTCAGAGTAAGAATCAAATATTTCAGCGTGTGAGCAGGTGCACGCGCATATCTGTGTGTATGTGTGTTTGAGAGAGAGAGAGAGAGAGAGAGAGAGAGAGAGAGAGAGTACAAGATCTTTTCCATAGGAACTTTCAGGTGCTGAGAGAGTTCATCTCTGTGTATCCCCTTTTCTTTTCCATTGCAATAAAATACCAGTCCCAAAGTTTCAATACAACCAGCACCAAGATAACTAATGCGAAGCTGCAGCCAGCACGTCTTAGGCGACAAAAACAAAACCAAATCGGGAAATGAAATTCATGGTAAAATTGTTACTCACATGCTTGAAGGCTGCTGCAGATAGTCAAGGACCAACTGATCACAGCTCTTTAGTCCATGAACGCTAAATTGCCCGGAGAACTACAAAATTGAACATTAATTGCTTGCTAAACAAGTAAAGACAGTTTGAGATGTAATTTTTCATAATCAGATAACATACTTGGTTTGACGGGGCTGTCTGATATCCAGTTGACCTGCTCCCCACAGGAGTGTTCAAAGATGAGTTCATAGGCCGGGTTTGAGTGGCAGCATTCCCTTGTAGCTTTAATGAATGTAAATACACCACAAGTAAATAAACAAATTATAAGGTACAGTCTATCCAAATTCATCTTCAAGTGAATGAATGCACAAAACAAAGTAATTCGTTCATCAATTCAAAATAGTAATGATACCTGTAACTTGGACATCTGCAAGTGGGTATGTATGCATTCAATGAAGTGGAAGGTAACTTCGTCAAAGTTTTTCACAGGCCTGTAACAAATTCAAGGCATATACTGTCGGTTTTAGTATGAGTGGTTGTTAAAGCAGTATCAACAAAGCATGATACGCAACGATCATATATTCATCAAAAACAAGATAAATAAAAGCATCCAAAAGGAGTACTAGTTTGTGTCAATCATGCAGCAAATCAACAATAACAGAATGCTCCCTTACAGAAAGAAAAAGAATTGACCAATTTTTTTAATCAGATATGCAAATTAAAGTGAATGTCATTTTCAACAATAGTTGTCTGAAAATCTAAGTTCTTTGACAATACATAAAGACTTCAACGTAACCTAGAGGACAGGGGGACTGCTCCCAACAAGTTAAGAAATTGTTGAGCCAGATCAAAAGCTCAGTAGTCACAATACATTGATGCTAACAGATTTATAAATTCACCTTTATCTTGCTTCAAACATATGAGACACAATGTTTGTTTGAGTTCACATGCACAGTGCACCTGTGTATATTGTGTGTGCTATGTACAAATATTCATATTTGACAAGTCCTGCCAGCATCATTCTACATCAATTGACAACCTGAAATTATCCATATGATGCATTGGTGCAATGAGAAGTGTAAATTTCTACAGGCACTCAAAGTAATAAAAAAAAAGGAAGATCTATATACCCATACCTCACAGAAAGGCAATAATCTGTCGAACACCTTGAAGGACATTCAAGTATCCGTTAACACGAACATACATTCCATCTCTGTTGCAAAATAGGTCAGAACATAATATGTATAAGCACTTCACAAGGTTTTGGTTACTCAACAATCCCAATATCTATATACGAAGACTCAATTCCAACGTAAAGCTCACAGACGATAGTGAGAGAACTTACTCTATTTCCTGCATTTCTTGAGTCAAAATTCTCATTCACCCTGTTGAGATAATTAAACATAGAAGATTCAGAACTTAAATCATTATGCGTCTATCCATATAATCGAAACACATGTCTAGCTTATTTTGCTAGATTGTGCATTGCACTGAACATCAAAACGCAATAAACTCTTCAAACAATTAACATTGTGATAATATAAACGGAATCAAAACGGACAATGCAAAAAGTTACCATCTTCAGCACTTGATTCGCCCTGTCCCGTCATCCACAGTGAAACCAACATCAGTGTTCCTTTCGGCTTTATCGAAAACCATCCCAACCACCGATACCTAACCAACCAAACATCATATTAACCGAAACGTTTCGGAAATCTCTTTTTTTTTTCTTTTTTTTCCATTTCAAGTGACTGTTATGAGAAACAAACAATAAAATCCCGATGAAAATAAAAATGGTGCATACATACATTGGCAACATCTGCACCATTGATCACAAAGTTCGATTTTTCATCACCGGACTGATGAGCTTCGCTGATCTACTTCACCGTCACCGGAACCAATCCGTGAGTTTCGCCGGGCTGAAACAACATTTGCAAGAAAATACTTACAAAAATCAATAAATAGCAAACGTAAACGGAAATAAGTGATGAAACACCGACCTGGCCGAAACCCTAAATCATTTTTTAAGCAGATAAGCATCAAAACTCAAAACTAATTAATTAGACACTCTTTAATTTTCATACTTTTCACAGTTATTCAAGAGATGCATTACCTTGGCCGGAGAGGGAGTGGAATCGCCGAATTGAGTGGACTGAGAAGCCAAGAAACCGTCGCCGGAGAAGGCGTTGGTCGCGTCGAATTGGGAGCCTGAGAACATCTTTGAAAACCTTAGAAACTGATGGGAAAGGAAAGAGAAGAAATGAAAGTGGCGGTCTGAGATGAACCGGTGCTTTTATACGAGATATTTAGGAAGGCAAACAATCTTCCCGCCAATCTTGTTTTTACTTTTTTATTTTCCCGCTGAATTTTCGTCTTCATATCGGAAAAATGACTCGAATTGAATCCGTCCTTTTTTTTTATTATTGATTTATATTTTATGCATATGAGAAAGATAATTGTTATTAATAAATTTAACTTTAGTGATAACACTCAGTTTTACGAATATTTTATTGCTTGACTTAATTTTCATAATCATGAGATCTTTTATCGTTAATGTCAACAATTCATTTTCGTATCACCCAGTATTAAATATTATTTGAAAATTTGGTTATGTACATATAAAAAGTTATTAACACTCATCAAATGTTTTTCGTATCACCCAGTGTAAATACTATTAGAAAAATTGGTTATTTACATATACAAAGTTATTAACACTCATCAAATGTTTATTTTCTACATGATAAAAAAAAATTGCTCAGTTGGAAAGGTCATGCTTTGTGTGTCGCTCCACCAAGGTTTAAGTCCAATTGTCATCAATTCTCGTTGATGCGCGATCTGTAAAATTCCTAAGTAAATTTATACCGCTGGCTGTTAGGTGTCACACGGACGTCCACCTGACTCGAGGTTACTTACTTATAAGCTCATGCAAGGTTTATTCTCCCATCAATGTGGGGCTCATTCTCAGCATGCCCCTCACGTGTGTCGAATTTTCAAGCCTAACAAATTGACAACACAACGAGGTAACATGGAGCATGCGTGGCTGTTTGGCTTCACACATACACATAGAACAACTTGCTTTGATACTATGAAGAAAATTGAGGTTCCACCATAAAACCAATTAGCAATATGGAGAATAGTCAAACTTAGTTATAAGCCCATATAAGATCCATTTTCCTATCAATGTGGGATTTATTCTCAACATATAGCCAAACGGTGAGAGTAACCAATCTCTCCTAAAAAATTTTTTTTTACCAAAACAAATTTTCTAGGTAATTTTCTTGGAATGCAAAGAAAAACTTATTGTCCATAACTGCTATGTAGTTATTCCAGTACAGGTTCTTCCCCTGCATTCAAGCCCTCTCATGCCATTAAAAACAACCGATAACTAGTTGGTTCGCTATACGTTGTAATAGAAGTCACATTTAATGTGAATATATATAAAAAAAAAAAGGGAAATTGTTTTGGTAACAAAAGTAATTTTGGGCAAAATATGTGATTTTACCTCCAACTACCAACTTTGAAAATTTATATGCAAAAATTAGCCAATTTGTAAAAATAAAAATAAAGATAAAAATTTGCTGATAAATGTAACCCTCTAAGAGCAAGTCCACCCATTTTAGAATGACAAAGGTGATTAAATTGCCCTTACGATTCACTCAAAATCTAAATAGTAATTGCCTTTATGCAATTACACTGTTGGGAACAGGAAAGTAAGAGTAATAGCGATTACTATCTATAAATATACTATTTAGGAAGGAATATAAGATAAATATTCAATTATTCTATAATTATGATTACGTCACCCAATTCCAAGAATATCCTAATTTGACTCAAATTTGAGTTTTTTTTTTTTTGCTTCGGAGACAAATAATATTGCAGAATAATTATTTGATTATGCCTTTAGACTAGTCTGATCACCTAAACTTCATAGGCTATAGGCATTTTGGTAATTAGCATGATCGCCTAAACTTCATGGGTTGTCACCTAAACTTCATGGGCTATAGGCATTCCATAATTGCATGAAGTCGTTGGTGTCTAATTAATCCACAATCTTTGCTAAGAAATCGTCATATTTCTCTTAGAAAAAGAAAGAAAAAAAAAACTTACGTATATTACAAAGACTATAAACGTGACATATCTACAATCAAAATCCTCACAAAACAAAAAATCTAACCACATCAACTCGATGAAATGAGACAAATCTGGTAAGCGACAACAAGTAACACTAACACCATTTTATATTGAAGTGCTAAGAACAATAATACCTCATTTAACAATGAAATGATCTAACCAAAAAACTAAATGGAAGAAAAGACTTGCTTAGTTAGTTGCCTGTCACTTTCCCAACCGTTAGACCAAATCTTCCCGCACAAAATTGTATGCGGATGGATGCCCATCAATCACACAAATAAAATTATAAATATTATTATCTTTTTTTAGTTTTCTAACTAATTTTTGAAGTCCTTACTCGCTCTCTTCTTCCTTCTTCCCCCTAACCACCAAAAATTATAATCCCACTCCCACTTCACTCTCCGAATCTCTCAACCTCCACTGAGAGAGCAGAATCCATGAATTTGCTCTGCGTAAACTGCGTAACCGCAGCTCCGTTTCCCGCCAATCAGCACCTGAGCTCGCGAGCTCACACTGTTCCGAGACGCATCAATGCGCCGTCGCGTGCTCCGGCGTCGTTCGATTACAGGCTTCGGATACGAAGAGGCAGGAAACCCTTGCGATTCCGAGTTTCGAATGCCGCAATCGAAACGCGGAGGAGCTTGGCGGCTTCTACTGGCGAAAGGCAATTGAGCAAACCTAGCGCGGCCATGGAGCAGCTCGACTTCGAACGCGGTGTTTGCGTGCCGTTTCGGAAGTACAGTCCGGAAACTGTATGAAATTCAACTCTAGCTTAGTGAATTTATCTCATATTTTGTTAATTTCTTGTAATTTTTTTGTGAATTTTTGTGTTAATCTTGTGATGGTATGCAAATGATCAAGCCTGGTTGAAATTTAGTTAATCTGTTACATTTCTGAACTAAATTCGAGTTTGATTTCGTATGGATTTGATGATCCTCTAGTTGCAAATTGGATGTATTTTTTTTTTGGTTTTTGTGAATTTGTTAGGCACTTGTATTCAATTTGGCATGAATTTCTTGATGTTATCTATAATTAGGTGAGGTATACGGTGTTGGAATCCAGAGGAGCAATTGTGTCATTACTTTCGAGGGGTGTGGAAATTGTGTGGAGTTTGGGATTTTACTGGTCTACCTTGGCGTATGACTACGTCATAGGAAGGGATGAAGAAGTTGTTTCAGCTCGTGCTCGGCAGCTTAGAAACCTCCTATGTGATTTGGGGCCTTCTTTCATTAAAGCCGGCCAGGTTTGAACCTCACTCATATGAGTTATATCCTACGGTCTTTGCTGAAATTTGTCAGTTTACTTCATTGGATTAACTGCAAAACTGAATTTTGTCATAGCAAAGCAAATTAAGAGAAAATAATGCATCAACTAGAGGTTTACTATCAGGTTTTAATAAGAATAAGATGGATTATGCAGTGAAGAAGTAATATGTCAAGATCTAAAAATTTAGATGTAACTGGAGATGGCCTACATATAATAAAAAAAATGAACAATGAGAATTCATTGTGGTCGATCCTATGCATTTGGGACAACGATTTTTTTAGTTTAATTCTAATATTTAGGTAATAATTTTTTATGAACAGATTTTTTATTTTATTTTTAAGTTTTGTTTTAAATTGTAAGCTATTCTTTTTAAAATAAATTAAATGGTTTTTCTGGGTTATACATAGAGATTTCTGAAATTTAGATCATAGAGATTTTGCTCGCTGTGACTTGTCACCATGTTCATATTATTCTAATCAGAACTTCAGCTGTAGTATGAAGTATCAAAGTTGAAATTTTCTCTCCGAGTACCAATTTGAAATCTACTTGCACTCAGACAACAAATTTAAGATTCATATGCTTGCGCAATTAAACATTTCCTGATTTCACCCATTTATTGAAAGGTTCTTGCAAACAGACCTGATATTATCAGAGAAGATTATATGAATGAACTCTGCATTCTTCAAGATGACGTTCCTCCCTTCCCCAATCAGGTAAAATCTCAATTTACCAAAAAGTCACTGGTTCCAGCTGCTTGCATTTGTGATGAGACACTATTACCGTGTGGGGTTTGCTTAACTTACAATAGCATATGGCATGCATTGCTTCAGGTTGCCTTCGACATAATAGAAGAAGAAATGGGGAGACCCCTAGAATCTGTTTTCAGTAAAATTTCGTCTCAAACGATAGCAGCTGCCAGTTTAGGTCAAGTATACCGAGCTACATTACGAGATTCTGGCGAGGAAGTTGCTATTAAGGTTTACCAAAGGGCCTTTTCTTAGGTCATTAACAGCTCTACAGTTATTGTGTTGTGAGAATGATGAAAACATTACCTGTGGCAAAAATGTTGAATTTTTTTTTTTCTAAATTTATGTTTTTTTTTTTTTTTTTTTCACTTACAGGTTCAAAGGCCGCAGATAGAACCTATAATTTATCGGGATCTTTTTCTGTTCCGAACTCTTGCTTCATTCTTAAATGGCATCAGTCTACAGAAACTGGGGTGCAATGCTGAGCTGATTGTTGATGAATTTGGTGAGAAGCTTTTGGAGGAGCTTGATTACACTTTGGTACCTTTCAGACCTGCGCTATAGGAGGACTGAAATTGGACTTTGACCCCATTATATTTATGCCTATGACTTCATTACCATCGTCACTTGAATGCAATTTAAACAGCCTTTTTTCTTTTGACCTTTCCAATTACTACTCAAAATCTCTTTCCTCTGAACAGGAAGCCCGCAATATTGAAGATTTTCTTCTGAACTTTGAAGGTGATCCTACTGTCAAAATTCCTCGGGTTTACAAAGAGCTTTGTAGTTCACGTGTTCTAGTGATGGAGTGGATTGATGGTATTCGGTGCACTAACCCACAGGTATGATTGTCAAGATAAAAGATGGTATTTTAAAGCAATGGGATATCATATCTATATCAATAATATCCTGCCCCGCATTTCAGACTATTAAAGAAGCTGGTATTGATGTAAATGGGTTCTTAACGGTTGGAGTCAGTGCTGCATTGCGGCAATTGCTAGAATTTGGGTTGTTCCATGGAGATCCACATCCTGGAAATGTTTTTGCCATGCGTGATGGGCGTATTGCATATGTGGACTTTGGGAATGTTGCTGTGCTTAGTCAGGTGAAATAGATACTTCAATGGTATTCAATAAAATAATGATTGAGAGAGTAGATAACGCCCCTGTTTTTATTTTCTTTAGCACATAGG